GCCGCCTGCATGTGGTCCATGTGTGTCGAGTGCGAGCTCCGGGAGCCGGAGGTTAGCATCGAATCGATTCTCATTTTCTCCTTAAGCTGTGGCGTCAGATCTGTCCGCCTTTCATATAAAATGCAAATAATTTATTATATTTCTCATCAAATGTAACTATTTTGGGAGAATTTTGTTTTTTACATTTTTGGTATTACTTGTATGTTATCTTGTATTCAGTGTTTGAATTAATTTTAAAATTTTATGAAAATATTTCTGCTATTTCTCTAACAAGTAATGTTTTATTTGATATTAATATAGTTGTAAATATGATATAATGCTTACGAGAGATAGGATTCCACATAAAGTCTCAAATTTTTCGGATTCATACGACTGTGCAGTTTCTGAATGTAATCCTGAATCACACGTTCCCTGTCCTGTCCGCTCACTGTCTGTAAATTGAATGTAAATTGAGAAAAATATTCGTATAAAATAAGTCATTAATATTAAAACATTCTGTAAAATAGAAAAGCCATTCAAATCAAAATGCAAACCTCCAAAGCCTTTTGCGATATTATTGAAAATCGATAGCATATAGAAGTATTGATTTTTTGTGATATATTATTATTACAGATAATTTTGTTTACAAAACGACAGACACGAACACAATGTTAGGAATTCATGCAAAGAATTTAATTTTTAGATAAAAATTAGTTTTTCACGTTGAATAACTAGTAATTTAAAGTATTAATTGAAATTGTAATGCAAAAATGGTATTTTGAGTTATAAATTGTTTTATGACACAAATATGGAATTCATTTATTCATATACCGCTCCAAACTTATGGAATACCAGATACTGTTCAGCAGTGGAATTCATGCCCAATGTATTCAATTTCCAAGTCATCATCTGATCATTAAATTCAAATCAATTGTCAATAACATTAAACGCTTTTCAGATATTTTGTGTAAATATAGTATGTATTAATATGTACGGTAATTATAATATTTTCATGAAATCATTACTGTATTAAATATGGGTATTAAATGAGTGAATTTACTTTGTCGTGAAAGTATTGCATAACACTCTCGACACTACACGTGCAGTGAATTAATATATTGCCCAAAACTCTTTCCGGATTAGCCATCTGAAAATGTTATCAAATTGAGCTTAACGTTTTTAATTATACTTTTGACTGTATATTTATTACCGCAAATCGGGCTATTATGTTAGCACCGGCGCCCTCACCCAATGTCACACAGTATTTTATGCTAGAAAGTATATTTTCATGTCATTTATATTTTAGGTTTTAAATTCAAAGCATTTGTTAAATATTCATTATGTGAAAACTGAGATAACAATTTTATTTTTGATTAAAATATTTCATGAATGATCTAATAGAAAATGCGAAAATAATAATTTAATTGATTTCTATTAAGAAATATTATACTCAATTCATGTTTAACTAATTA